GAGGAAGGTTTACTGTATTTTTTAAAGACCATGAGAAAGAAAAGAGAAATAACACAAGGTAGAGAATTCATGAATAGGTAATCACTTTCTACAGACAATAAGCAATGTTCCAATAAGCCCTGAGAAATAGCTAATTAATTTTCCAAGTGAGCAAACATTATTTTGTAGTCCTGTAGACCTAAAGAGGAATCTAAAGATAGTGAATAGAAGTGTGTTCCTAATTTTCAAAAGAAGATTAAAAGTGTTCTCGGTCCTCATTGTCTAGCTACTTCAATTCCTATCAAAATAATAGAACCTGAATTAACACACAAAAAGTAAGTTTTTACTGTCTTGGAAAATAAGGAAGGAATAAGTAGCTTTTATTTATGAATAGTCAATTAGTCTGAATAAATTTGATGGTTTGTTGATGAAATTGTAAAATGAAGTCAACCCCAAACACTCTAAATTCAATGTCTTGATGATTATAAAATACTTGATAAAGCCCCATGAGTCCTCCCCATTATATTAGTTTAAGATGGTTTATGTAACTAAAGTCAGCTGAGGCTTCGCAGCTGAAGCAAAAACAGAGATAAGTCATTTAAGGAAAAGGTATAAAGTGATAAAAGCTATAGAAATTGGAGGACAGACCAAGTAAGTCCCAATGATTTAGAAGGTGTGGGTATACACTAGGGAATGAATTAAAATTTTCCAAATACCTGAATCTTAAGTTACAGCAAATATGAGAATGAAGATAAATATCACAGGGAAATGAGGTAAGAACTTGGGGAAAAATTATCTGGAGAAAATGTTGAATTCGAAATTTGGCAGAAACCTGTCCAGTGGTAACCATACTTCAGGAAGCCTGAGTATGGGCTGGTGTGGAAGGAAGAGGAAGCACAGGGTTATTGGTGGAATCAACTTGAAAGGATTGGTAGTACAGTACGCGATAGTAAAGAACTGTGGCACCCAGTGACATCATTTTTACTGCACTTAAAATTCTCAGAATGAATGCAAAAGTAATGACAAAACTCAACCTGATTTATAAGAAGGCTGTATTTTAAATTGCATCTTCTGTTGTATATGTCTATTCCTCTTCAAGTTACACCCCACCCAACTGAAATAAACAGAAACATAAGATCTTTTCCCTAATGAACCAAAGACTACTAAAAGAACCAGCAGCCTCTCCTAGGGCTGCTTCTAACTTTCTCTCTCCTCCCCAGGGATGGGTTTCCCTTGATTTGAAGCTCCCTGTGCCCAAATTTCTCCCTGGCAGTGTATCTGAATAACAGCGTGCCAATCATAGCTCAGGAGGTTTGGGTTCTTTTAATCACACATAGGTCTGTTGATTTACAGTTATGAATCTGTATAATGGGAATATTCTGGTGGTTGTAGGACAATGTCTTCAAAGAGACTCTAGGGGTTAGGTAGCACATTTGAAATAGAACCAAACTTATGTTTCTTTCTATAGATACAACAGTATCTTAAATAGTAAGAACCTCAACATACTGATGATTTTCATGTCTGGTCCTGAGTGTCAGCCAGTTTGTATTAGTTATTTGTTCCCCAAGTCCACAAAATTAGCAAGTAAGAGACTCTTGGTGTGTGTATGAGGGGAGTATATAAAAGTGAATAAACCTGATGCCACCATAATGTAATTTATTTTTTTATTTTTTATTTTTTTAAAAGATTTTATATATTTATTTGACAGAGAGAGTGATCACAAGTAGGCAGAGAGGCAGACAGAGAGAGAGGAGGAAGCAGGCTCCCTGCTGAGCAGAGAGCCTGGTGTGGGGTTCTATCCCAGGACCCTGAGATCATGACCTGAGCAGAAGGCAGAGGCTTTAACCCACTGAGCCACCCAGGTGCCCCACCATAATGTAATTTTAAAAGTATAACTATCCTTAACATCTCTCAAGCTATTGATGATTCTTTCTACATCATAGTCTACTTTGGCAATTCTTTGAAATTACAATTTGGCTCTTGGACCTGGAGGGTATCTAACTCCTTTTACAGATAAGGAGATTGAGGCTTTGAAGGATACAATGATTTAACCCAAGTGGCATAGCCAGTGACAGCAGAGCCTACAATAGACTTTCTGTCAACTGGATTGCATTCTAGCCCTTGAAACATTCTGCTACCATTTTCTCTCCTGTTCACCTTCTATTCCGAAGTTACTATCGGTATTCCAAAAAAATAAAAAATAAATAAAAGCTTAGATATAGTTACCTTAAAGAAGGTATGTGTGAATGCACATGAATGTGTCTTTGTATCTCAAGTAACAATTCAGTATATCAATGTATTTCCTCCACTTGCATACATTGTTATGCATTTAAAATTGAGCATTTGCATCATAAAAAAATTCCATTTTCATTTACTATGCTGTTCTGACAATATTATGATGAACTGTATTCTCTGTAAACCACTAAAAATGTCTTATTTTAATCAGCCATCTAGGCTTTATTTAGCTGGTACCCAATTTTACGTGGTTTTAATTACTGAAAATTCAAATACATAAGATTCAACATTTACTGGCATTTCATCTTTGGAATTTATTTAGGAAATGAAGTATTGCTTTGTGGTTTTAGAAAAAAATTAATAAATATCTCTGAATAGATGGTAATTTCATGTTCATTTTCAGAGAGATTTAGCTACATTAGCAGTGCTATTTCCCAACACCCATAATCTTCTAAATTGACTTATTTGATGCTCTTCAGATCTATTTTTCTTAAGACTTAGATTTTTATCTCTGTTGCTGCTTTTGAAATGCTCTCCATGATTGTGAATCCATCTAATGTAATTTTCACATTTGGTGCCATTTTTCTCAAATGACAATACAGGGCAGGAAGAATCATTTGGCATTTCTTCATATCAGCCTAATACTTTGATTTGAAATATGGGTGAAATATAAGGAAAAGAGAGAAAGGAAGAGCTGAAGGTCTCTTAATAAGAAAACCTCGTGTTAAAATCAAACAGATGGACTATGAGAGGTAAGCTGTGGAGTAGGATAAGGTGATAAAAAAAAAAAATACTCAGCAGAAATGAGCCTCTAAGCAGTAAAGAACTGAGGAAACCAGAGTAGCTCTGTTCCCTTTTATTAATACTTTCTTAGAAACCTTGTCTCCACTTTGGCCGCTTTCATCTTTAGTCTATGTGCTAGTTCCTTCTCAACACCTCACTTAGCTTTTCTTAAAAGAGTTTAAGTACTAACACTACTACTACTAATAATAATTGCATACAGATCTCTTATACTTTAATCAAAATTTACAATAACATCTGCATTTTTGTTTGGTGATGTTTGAACAGGCTCTCGGGGAGCAAACTATGTCCGCAAAGGGCATGTGCTGTGAAGACTATGTGTCCCATGGCACTGTGTGTATTCATTTCTATCAATATTGTTTTTCTTGGGTAGATTCTGTCTTCATACTAAAATGAAAAGGGGGAAGTCTGTTGAAAATAAAACATGTATGTGTGTGTGTGTAAAATGTGTCAACATTATTCTCTCTCTCCCTTTCTCTCTCCTGTCTACCTCTTTCTCTGTTTCTGTCTTTCTCTGACTGTACTGCGTACACTTAATTAAGCCTCTAAAAAGAAGCTCTCTTACCTCTTATTGAAGTAAAGCAGAAATCTGAACTTTGGAGCTAAATGATAATGGGAATCAGTGTGCATACTCTGTAACTCAACAATATTTGAGTTGCTTTAAAACAATCACTCAGATTTCTTGGCAGACACCTCCCCCCTGCTTCCTCTCACTGGGGCAGGAAGAAGTCAGTGTAAGCCCTTGGTAGACTGCGAGTGCACGTTTCTTAACTGGATAATTTAGTTGACCCGCTGCCACTTGGCCTGAATTCGCCCCAGTTGAGAATGCCCAACTGGAGTCTTGGCCCAGCGCCTAGGATTGGTGGCTACACCTTTCCAAACGCACACCCTCGCTGTCCTTGTGCTACGGAACAACCCCAAGTCTGAGAATGTACCTCCAGCCTTGTCAATGCCGGCCGCGCCTCTCTCGAAGGCGGTCTCTGCGGAGCAGCCCAGACTCCCGGGAGGAGTCTCATCTAATCACGGTGGCTGGTGGGAGTGAGTCTGATCTCCTGCCAGGCTTCCCAGCTGCTTAGTTCCAGACAAGCCCGGAGTCTATAAAAATATAAATAAATAAATAAATAAATACTCGCCCCCATGAGTCACCCAAAGAAGGCTGCTTTCCCTAACCTTCCCCGTGCCGGAAAGGGGAGTAATCCTCCCCCGGGATTTGCCCAAAGTGGCGAGAGGAGGGTTAATATTTGCTTTGTTATTGAGAGAAAAAGAGGCAAGTACGCCTTGAGAGAGAGAGAGAGAGGGAGGGAGAGAAAGAGAGAGTTGTTTTGGAGCGGAAAATAAGCAGGGGAGAGGAATAGGGAGAGGCCGGTACCCCAGCTCCCCTCGGGGCCTCAGAGAGCGGCACACGCCGTAATTCCCTTTCCAGAGCCTTACAGATTTCCACAAACAATGACATCACTCCGGCACCGCCGACCAGATTACAGCTGGGGGGATTTTCCTGGGAGCAAGGCGGGCCCGGGTGGAGAGATGGAGGAGCTCTCCAGGGTTCTGAAAGGGGCGGGGGCGCGGGCTCGCCGCTCGGCGCCCCCCGTCGGCGGAGGCGGACCGGCCGGGCCGGGGGCGGGCAGAGGCGGGCCCGGGGCGGTCCAGGGCGGGGCCCGACGCATCTCCCGTCCTCATTGGCTGCTAGCGAGCACACGTCACCCAGGCTGGTGCTCTCCTCCGGCCCCCGGTGGAATTGGAGCCGAGGAGGAGCTGAAAATGCAGATTTAGCCTCAAGCACAGACATACACTCGCTCTTTCTCTCAGATACACACAGCTCCCCCTATTCGCACCTCTGCCAGCGAGCCTGATTACACGGCTTCCCCGCCAGACAGATGCTGGAGGAGAACACACATTGATTTGCTGCTTTCCGAGCCCCTAATCAGTCTTTTTCCCAACACAAAGATTTTTTTTAAACAAACAAAAAAACTATATATATATATATATATATATTTTTTTTTAAATTTGCACCTTTCCTCCGAGTCCCCCACTCCACAAGCTTGCGCGCCTCCTAGCACCACTTTTCACTCCCAGAGAAAGATGAAAGGTGGCTGTGTCTCCCAGTGGAAGGCGGCCGCCGGGCTCCTCTTCTGTGTCATGGTTTTTGCATCTGCCAAGAGACCGGTCTTCACGAATCATTTTCTTGTGGAGTTGCATAAAGGAGGAGAGGAAGAAGCTCGCCAAGTTGCAGCAGAACACGGCTTTGGAGTCCGAAAGGTAAGATCTCCCTTGCATTTCGCATGTTGTTTCAAAACGGGGGCAGCCCTGCGCAATCTCATTGCAGATTTGCAAGTTTTCTTTCTCATGCGATGCAGATATTCTGCCATGGGCTCTTTAACACGACATTGCCTCCGGTGATCTTTCACGGGTTATGTAATTAAAATGTCCTTCAAATTGTACTAGTAAGGTCACAAAAATAATTTATTGCTCTTTGACTTGGTGGCGAAAACCAGATAACACCTTTCTAACAATGCCTTGCGCCCGGGCTGCTGTCCGAGGTACCAAGTTCTCAAGGCTGCGTGGGGATGGAGGAATGAAGTGTTGAACATCTGGGCTTGACGTTGGCAGTCTTTGCCAGGGATGTATCCCCCGCCCCCATCTCCTGGAGAAAGAGTAGTTTCCGACCGACAAGACTAAAAGCTTGGACACTGAAATTCACCTCCGTGCTTTTCGGATCCCGCGCTAGGAGGACTTCCCTCCCGGTGACTTGGGCCCCGGCTCTTTTCCAGGAACCACAGCTCCCTGGCTGCAGGAGACTTGGAGACATGAACTGGGTTTTCTTTCCAAAATCGGGGTGGAACTTCTCTCCCTCGCCCCTGCCCACCAGCGCCCGCCCCCGAAGCGTACTGTTAGTTAGCTCCCCGATTCTCAACTCACAGCTGTAGAAGCTAGAAAGGTAAATTTTGAGAGGAGTTCCCTATGGAGAAATCGGGACGTCTCTCCCGGTGTGTGGGCGGCCAGCTTGGCTTTCCCACGAGGGTGCGGGGATCCCCATTCCAAGAAGTTGTCAGAGTTCAACTGTTTGGGCAGCTAGGTAAGGCTCCTAATATAGGATGCCTTGGGACTCCTTTGGCGACTCCAGGGTATCCATTCTGGGAAAGCAGCGGAGAGGAGAGTGCTGGTTGGGGGCCGTGGCTTATCTATTTGTCCTTCTTGCAAAATATCTCGTCAGAAATCGCAAGTGTCCTTAGGGGACCTGGCGAGGCGTGGGGTGGAGTGAGAGTGCAAGGAGAAACCGGACGAGGGGAGCGTGGAGGACATCGGGATGCTATTTGGCAACCAGAGGGCTGGGTGGAGGTCCGTGGGATTCGGGGCTCTCTCTCCTCCCTCCTGATCTCAGGAGAGAGGCTGGAGATGATCGGCGGGTGCTTTCTTCTGTTGCTTTTGCCTCTCAAGGGCAGCGCGAACTAGGTCTCCTTTGGGTCCCCTGTCCCGACTTCCCATGCCTCCCGCCTCCCTCCCAGGCATCGCGAGGGCTCCCTCCCATGCGGCCGGCTATCCCTCCTCCGCAGGGCGTTGGCAGGCACGATTCCGACCTCAGGTAGGTTTCAGAGCGAGTTAAGTCAGAGGTCTGGGAGGAGGTGCCCGCCTGGTCTACCAGTGGCGCGCGGGCGGGTCTTGCAGTAGGGAACTTGTTGCTCCCGGGAAGCGTGGGTGGAGCAGGGGAGAGAAGATGCCAGCTGAGGGAGCAGCCCGTTGTCGTTCTCGCCAGGCGTCTGGGGCTCTTTCAAGAGTGCCACCAACACAATAAACAGGAAGACCCTTCGTCCTTCCCACCCCACCCCACTAACTTGGCAAGACTCAGGACCCAGGAGCCATAAATATAACGTGATTGTGATCGTGATTATTATTACCTGACAACAATAGGACACCCTTGTGTTCTGCAGTCTTTACATACATTCTTATTTAATATCCTCAACAACTCTGAGGAAGCTACTGTTGTTATTAAGTACATAACACTGATACGGAAATGGGTTCAGATCAGGGTCCAAGGTTAAAAAACAAACAAACAAACAAACAAACAAAAACAGATTTGAATATAAACCCAGATCTTTTAGAGATAAACTCATGTTCTTTACCTCTTGGTACATACCAAACTGGATAAGTGCTCTGCAGGATGTGTTGGGCTGTGAGGTATGCTGAAAAGGGATGTGGCATCAGACTCTAGTTTTTGAGAGTAAAGGGGCTGCAGTTGTTGAAGAAATCCTGTTCCTCTCTCCCCATGCCATGCACCTTTTCATAGCATAGGCAGACATTGCTATCTTTTTACCTACCATTTAGAAAATATGCCTTTTAGAATCTTAGCAACTTAAGCAAATCTGGGAGTAGCTAAGACAGATAATGGTTTAACTTATTAATTCTCCAAGAGGGACATTCTTTTTGTATAGAGGTAAATAGCTTAATGGGGTTTTTGATGGTGAAGTTTGAGAAAGAAGGTATAGAGATAATCTTTCACAAATGAATCTGGATAATTTTGATATACTTACCATAAAATCTGAGGGAACTCATACTTTGGGGTGAAATCAGATACCTAAGACTCTCTCATCCCCACTCTTTCTTCAAGAGGAGTCCACTGGTTTTGCATCAGCCTCAAACATGCAATTTCTATCTAGGAAAAATGAGCTTTTGCCTTGCCACCTCTCTTCACCTCTCTATAACCTCTCAAAAGTAACATCTCTTATCCAGATGATTTTTGTTCTGATACATATTTAAGTAAAAAAAATCAGTCTATGGCAGAATGCTTCTGTCTGATGAATCTTTGCATAATGCCACACCTGTGTAGAATTAACACTCTTTTTCTTCCTTGGATTCATGTTCTATCCATCCTTCAAGCCTGAGCTTGAACCTTCCCTGATGCTATGAACAACAATGTGCTTTCCATTCTCCAAATTCCTCTTTGACAAAAAAGCGAAACCTACACAACATAAGATAGTACATTCCATCATTTGTCCTCTAGTCATTTGATATATGTAAGTAAATATGGGTGTAAGTATCTGTCCACTTGAAAGGTATTAAATATTCAAGGATGATATCTTCTTTATTTCTGGTTTCCTCACCAAAGCCAGACTTTTATTGGGTTTGCCAGCCTGTAAAGAAATGTCCTTTGTTTTTTCTGTTCCTTTAGGTTTGTCCTGTCTTGTTTACATCATGCTGTACTGTACTTTTGTTACTCATTTTTTTTTCATTTTAAACACATAATATCTCTTCCATCCTCTCTCTAATACTCCGTGTATCTTCCAACTCCCTACTGCTCCATCCTTTCCAATGCACAGTGTCAGACACTAAAGATCCTTGATGGTTATTTATTCATCTCAAAGAAGGGTCAGCTCGGCAGACTAGAGGAATCTACTATTTTACTGAATTATCTCATCTAGCTTCAGAAAACTGTGACATAGAAATTGTTGCCATCAGGCCTTATTCTCAGATGAAAAACTTAAAGCACCAAGTAGTTATGTTTATATTTGGAAAGGGAAAAAACTCAAATTTAAAACCAAATTTAAAACCAAATAATTTTGTTACTCTACCAAGATGCCTCTGGGAAACCCTTCTCTGACAACCAAGAACTCCACTCTTGGGGCACCATTTTAGAGTTCTGATGTTTTTTTTTTTTTTTTTTTTTTCCTTTCCTTTCTTCCTTCTTGCTTTTTTTCTGCATCCAACACCTATGTGTGCCTAGGTCATTAACTAATGTGTATGAGTATGAACTTCTTCAGATAGATCATAAATCTTCCAAGAGAAGAAACAATATACCATGTCTTCCTCTAGCCCCATATTTAGCATGGTGGTCTGTATAAGATATAATAAATGAGTATTTGTTGATTATTTTGTCAAACTCTTACAAGGCCATGACCAAACAGTTATATTTCTTCCCTGAAGTGGAGTAAAACTACCTATAACTTTACTGTCAGAAAGGTGTGTTGAGACTAAAGTTTTCTATTTTATCATGACCTGACCCAAGGACATACATTCATCGAAGAAGATGTATATGTCTGGGAGAGTGAGTGAGTTTACAATAACATTAGAGGTATTATTCCAAAGAATACCTTAAAATTCCCAATACATTACTAATTTTAAATCCTTTGTTAAAAAAAAAAAAAAGAAAAAGAAAAGCACAATTACTTATTAAAATGACGTGTTGAGGGTGCCTGGGTGGCTCAGTGAGTTAAGCCTCTGCCTTCGGCTCAAGTCATGATCTCAGGTTCCTGGGATCCAGTCCCACATTGGGCTCTCTGCTTAGCAGGGAGCCTGCTTTCCCCTCTCTCACTGCCTACTTGTGATCTCTCTCTCTGTCAAATAAATAAATAAAAATCTTTTAAAAATATAAATAAATGATGTGTTGAAGGTTGGTCAAAAATCAAGTATGAATTTAGGTAAAAATCCAAACAGCTGACAATTAAGTGTTTTTATTTTACTACAATAGATTCTGTTTTTTATCCATGTAAGCCTAAGGCTAGGAAAATCATGTGACTACTCTTATATGTGTGATCATTAATTTTTTAAAAAATCTAGTATTAATTGTGCTGTTATATAATTAAAGAGTAAATTTCTCTTCATTTTAATTGAATGTCTAATTTTAACTTTAACTGAATTTAATTTTAAAATTAAATTTCTTTTAATTTTATTGAAGTATAATTTAGGAAAGAACACAGCTTAATAAACTTTCTCAACCCAGGCACACATGTATAACTAGCATCCAAATCAAGAAATAAAATATTATTCACATCTCATAAGTTCCCCCTCTTGCTCATTTGGGTATTTTTTGGTTTTAGGCTTTTATGCATATTGCTTCTGTGGATACTGTAGTGTATGTATTTTGGTGAACACACGTATGCCTCCCTGTTGGGAATATCATAGGAGTAGAATCGTTGAGTTAAAGAGGATACACACATTCAACTTTAGGAGACTGTATTAGTTTTCTATTGCTGTGTAAAAAATTACCACAGAGTTGGTGTACTAAAACCACACAAATTCATTATTTCATAGTTTTCATGGGTAAGGAGTCTAGCACATTTTAGTTGGATCTGCTGCTCACAGGTTGAAATCAAGATATTGGCCGACTATGTCCTCATCTAGAGGCATAACAAAGGGGAAATCTACTTCCAAGCATATTCAAGTTTTTAGAAGAATTCAGCTCCTTGTAGTTGTAGACCTGGAGTCTTCATTTTTTGCTGGCTCTACTCTCAGCTCCCGGAAGCTACCTTCATGATCTAGTGCAT